TCGTTCGTTCGTTCGTTCTTCGTTCGTTCGTTCGTTCGTTCGTTCGTTCGTTCGTTTCGTTCGTTCGTTCGTTCGTTCTTCGTTCGTTCGTTCGTTCGCTCTTTCCTGCTGTCGTTTTGCCTCCGGTCCCTCCCTTTCTTCCTCTGCCCCCCCTTTTGTTCCCCCCTGTTTCTCTGTCTCTTCCCTCTTCCTCTCTCCTCACCCCCCCTTTGTTTCCCTTGTTTACGGAATGTTTCTAGCGTGTATTGATTAATGATTCCAAAGTGTTACAAGATTTATAATTGATTTAAACATGGAATATTTACGAAAATTTAAAAAAATAAATAAGTAATTTCATCAAATTATATTAAAATTAAATTTTAAATTGAATAAATTAAAAGCGGATGCCGCCAAGCATTAATACGCGTTTATAAATAAATTTTGAAGATAATAATAGAAATTAATTGAACTATTTAGTTTTTTTTTGAAATAACCTAGACTGAATTAAAAAACTATAAACTTATAACCGAATTTAAAAAAGTGGTTAAACTCGAAACTTAAATAGTTTTCTTAAGGTTTTATTCTTGTTAGGAATTTTTTTTATAAATAGTTATAAAACAATGGTTTATTGATTAAAAACTATTTTGTTTTATTTTATTTCAGTTACACAAAATACAGTATTCCATGACAGTGACAAGGCCTTCGAATATATGGTTGAGTTACAAACTCAAGATGTTGATTTGGATTTTTGGCTGTTGTCACGTAACATGTCCATCGTTTCGGTTAGTCCTGTTATGCAGCCTATTTTCGAAAAACGTTTAGCCGAATTGGGTGTAACATATCAGGCAAAACCTTTAATGGAAGAAATGTTGAAATTTAACGAAACTTTAAGTAGTGATAGTTCCGATTGTGAGGGTTCAGAATGTGGTCATAGTAGAACAAGAAGACAAGCTAGAGGCTTCTTCACCCACTTCCCCAGATACAGTGAGGTAAGCAAGTTAACTTAAGGGTTTGAGAATCAAGTGTCAGGGATTATTATATTTTCTTTATTTTAGATCTTGAATTATATGAACGCTTTGGCTGCTCGTTATCCTCAATATTGCCGTTATGAGTCATTGGGTCGTTCTAATGAGGGCCGTCATTTAGCTGCTTTGTCTATTTCTCTTAACAGTCGTTCGCGTCCACGTCGTGTGGCTTATATCCAGTCCGGTACTCATGGTCGTGATGGATTACTCCTTTGGCCACTTTGTACTTTGCTAACGAATTGTTGACTAATATTAAAGCTTTTACTCGTATCCTCAATGATGTGGAAATCTATGTTTTGCCTTTGGTAAATCCTGATGGTTATGAGTACACTTTCACTACGGTAAGTAAGTTATATGCTCAGAGGTCAGAATAGGTCTTAGGAATATTATCTTATTAAAGAAAAAGCAACTGAACTGTAGAGTTTCTGAATTGAGCTTTAGCTAAAGGTGGAACTTATATTTTTGACTTTCTATTTTATGTTTTAATTATATTGCAGGATCGTTTCTGGCGTAAAAACAGACATCATTATCCTGGTCGTACTTGTGCTGGTGTTGATATCAATCGTAATTTTGCCAACAATTGGAATTATCGTGGTGCCAGTCAAAATGTAAATATATCAAAGAAACTCTTAACTACTCTTAACCCTATTTTCTAAACATTTATAAATTCTTCCCTATTTAGCTTTGCTCTGAAGTCTTTTCGGGTACCTCTCCAGCCTCGGAACCCGAAACATCTGCCATTGTTCGCTACTTGGAATACAATCGTCATCGCATTAAGTTGAGTTTGGATGTTCATTCATTTGGCAAATTCATTTTCTATCCATATGGTTATTCAAGGTGAGTAAAAACTACAAAAAATTTCAATTAATTTTATCTAAAGGAAACGGAAATCTAACAATTAATTTCTATTTTCATTTTACAGAAATGCTCATGCTCCCACACGTACTTTCTTGCATTCCGTTGCCAGCCGCGCTGCCAATCAAATTGCCAAATACCGTGGCACTCACTATTCGGTGGGTACTTCATCTAGCATTTTATATGAAGCTTCCGGTGGTCTTGATGATTTTGCTTATGGTAATTTGGGCATACCCATGTCCTTTACTCTCGAGTTGCCTGGTGATAATTTCCAAGTTGCCTCCTCGGACATTATACATGTGTGCAAAGAGACATTTGCTGGTTTTATCGAATTTATTAGACATGTTAGTTTATATTAAATTAAATACATAGAGAAAAATACTTCCACTAAATCTACATTTGCATACAGGTAACTTATATTTGTATGAATGTCGATTGTAGCCACATTATATGTTTTAAGTTCCATTGAATCTTTTTTACTTTTAAATTTTAGTAGCATCTTCTTTTATTAACAAAATGTATAAATATTATCTCTTTATTTCAATTAAGTTTTGTAATTGAATTTTTTGCCTATAGTTTGTAATTTAACTGTTAATTAATTGTAGTGAAATAAATAAAAAAACAAAAATACTTTTAAATGATTTTTTTTTGAGATTTATTTAAACAGTTGTTAACTCTTTGACGACCATATAGAATATGGAATAGACTATAGACTACACTATAGACTAGACTATACTCTAGACTATAGACTAGACTATAGATTAGACTATAGACTAGACTATAGACTAGACTATAGACAAGACTATAGACTAGACTATAGACTAAACTGTAGACTAGACTATAGACTAGACTATAGACCAGACTATAGACTAGACTATAGACTAGACTAGACTATAGACTAGACTATAGACTAGACTATAGACTAGACTTAAAACTAGACTATAGACCAGACTATAGACTAGACTATAGACTAAACTGTAGACTAGACTATAGACTAAACTGTAGACTAGACTATAGACTAGACTATAGACTAGACTATAGACTAGACTATAGACTAGACTATAGACTAGACTATAGACTAGACTATAGACTAGACTATACTAGACTAAAGACTAGACTATAGACTAGACTATAGACTAGACTATAGACTAGACTATAGACTAGACTATAGACTAGACTATAGACTAGACTATAGACTAGACTATAGACTAGACTATAGACTAGACTATAGACTAGACTATAGACTATACTATAGACTAGACTATAGACTAGACTATAGACTAGACTATAGACTAGACTATAGACTAGACTATAGACTAGACTATAGACTAGACTATAGACTAGACTATAGACTAGACATAGACTAGACTATAGACTAGACTATAGACTAGACTATAGACTAGACTATAGACTAGACTATAGACTAGACTATAGACTAGACTATAGACTAGACTATAGACTAGACTATAGACTAGACTATAGACTAGACTATAGACTAGACTATAGACTAGACTATAGACTAGACTATAGACTAGACTAACTAGACTATAGACTAACTAGACTAGACTATAGACTAGACTTAAAACTAGACTTAACTAGACTATAGACCAGACTAGACTAGACTATAGACTAAACTGTAGACTAGACTATAGACTAACTGTAGACTAGACTATAGACTAGACTATAGACTAGACTATAGACTAGTCTATAGTCTATCTATAGTCTAGTCTAGACTATAGACTAGACTAGTCTATAGTCTAGTCTATAATCTAGTCTATAGTCTAGTCTATAATCTAGTCTATAGTCTAGTCTATAATCTAGTCTATAGTCTAGTCTATAGTCTGGTCTATAGTCTAGTTATAGTCTAGTCTATAGTCTAGTCTATTCTAGTCTATAGTCTAGTCTATATCTAGTCTATAGTCTAGTCTATAGTAGTCTATAGTCTAGTCTATAGTCTAGTCTTAGTCTAGTCTATAGTCTAGTCTATAGTCTAGTCTATAGTCTAGTCTATAGTCTAGTCTATAGTCTAGTCTATAGTCTAGTCTATAGTCTAGTCTATAGTCTAGTCTACAGTTTAGTCTATAGTCTAGTCTACAGTTAGTCTATAGTCTAGTCTATAGTCTGGTCTATAGTCTAGTTTTAAGTCTAGTTTTAAGTCTAGTCTATAGTCTAGTCTATAGTCTAGTCTATAGTCTAGTCTATAGTCTAGTCTATAGTCTAGTCTATAGTCTAGTCTATAGTCTAGTCTATAGTCTAGTCTATAGTCTAGTCTATAGTCTAGTCTATAGTCTAGTCTATAGTCTAGTCTATAGTCTAGTCTATAGTCTAGTCTATAGTCTAGTCTATAGTCTAGTCTATAGTCTAGTCTATAGTCTAGTCTATTGTCTAGTCTATAGTCTAGTCTATAGTCTAGTCTATAGTCTAGTCTATAGTCTAGTCTATAGTCTAGTCTATAGTCTAGTCTATAGTCTAGTCTATAGTCTAGTCTATAGTCTAGTCTATAGTCTAGTCTATAGTAGTCTATAGTCTAGTCTATAGTCTAGTCTATAGTCTAGTCTATAGTCTAGTCTATAGTCTAGTCTATAGTCTAGTCTATAGTCTAGTCTATCTATAGTCTAGTCTATAGTCTAGTCTATATTCTAGTCTAGTCTATAGTCTAGTCTTTAGTCTAGTCTATAGTCTAGTCTATAGTCTAGTCTATAGTCTAGTCTATAGTCTAGTCTATAGTCTAGTCTATAGTCTAGTCTATAGTCTAGTCTATAGTCTAGTCTACAGTTTAGTCTATAGTCTAGTCTACAGTTTAGTCTATAGTCTAGTCTATAGTCTGGTCTATAGTCTAGTTTTAAGTCTAGTCTATAGTCTAGTCTATAGTCTAGTCTATAGTCTAGTCTAGTCTATAGTCTAGTCTATAGTCTGGTCTATAGTCTAGTCTATAGTCTAGTCTACAGTTTAGTCTATAGTCTAGTCTATAGTCTTGTCTATAGTCTAGTCTATAGTCTAGTCTATAGTCTATCTATAGTCTAGTCTATAGTCTAGAGTATAGTCTAGTCTATAGTGTAGTCTATAGTCTATTCCATATTCTATATGGTCGTCAAAGAGTTAACAACTGTTTAAATAAATCTCAAAAAAAAATCATTTAAAAAGTATTTTTGTTTTTTTATTTATTTCACTACAATTAATTACAGTTAAATTACAAACTATAGGCAAAAAATTCAATTACAAAACTTAATTGAAATAAAGAGATAATATTTATACATTTTGTTAATAAAAGAAGATGCTACTAAAATTTAAAAGTAAAAAAGATTCAATGGAACTTAAAACATATAATGTGGCTACAATCGACATTCATACAAATATAAGTTACCTGTATGCAAATGTAGATTTAGTGGAAGTATTTTTCTCTATGTATTTAATTTAATATAAACTAACATGTCTAATAAATTCGATAAAACCAGCAAATGTCTCTTTGCACACATGTATAATGTCCGAGGAGGCAACTTGGAAATTATCACCAGGCAACTCGAGAGTAAAGGACATGGGTATGCCCAAATTACCATAAGCAAAATCATCAAGACCACCGGAAGCTTCATATAAAATGCTAGATGAAGTACCCACCGAATAGTGAGTGCCACGGTATTTGGCAATTTGATTGGCAGCGCGGCTGGCAACGGAATGCAAGAAAGTACGTGTGGGAGCATGAGCATTTCTGTAAAATGAAAATAGAAATTAATTGTTAGATTTCCGTTTCCTTTAGATAAAATTAATTGAAATTTTTTGTAGTTTTTACTCACCTTGAATAACCATATGGATAGAAAATGAATTTGCCAAATGAATGAACATCCAAACTCAACTTAATGCGATGACGATTGTATTCCAAGTAGCGAACAATGGCAGATGTTTCGGGTTCCGAGGCTGGAGAGGTACCCGAAAAGACTTCAGAGCAAAGCTAAATAGGGAAGAATTTATAAATGTTTAGAAAATAGGGTTAAGAGTAGTTAAGAGTTTCTTTGATATATTTACATTTTGACTGGCACCACGATAATTCCAATTGTTGGCAAAATTACGATTGATATCAACACCAGCACAAGTACGACCAGGATAATGATGTCTGTTTTTACGCCAGAAACGATCCTGCAATATAATTAAAACATAAAAATAGAAAGTCAAAAATATAAGTTCCACCTTTAGCTAAAGCTCAATTCAGAAACTCTACAGTTCAGTTGCTTTTTCTTTAATAAGATAATATTCCTAAGACCTATTCTGACCTCTGAGCATATAACTTACTTACCGTAGTGAAAGTGTACTCATAACCATCAGGATTTACCAAAGGCAAAACATAGATTTCCACATCATTGAGGATACGAGTAAAAGCTTTAATATTAGTCAACAATTCGTTAGCAAAGTACAAAGTGGCCAAAGGAGTAATCCATTCACGACCATGAGTACCGGACTGGATATAAGCCACACGACGTGGACGCGAACGACTGTTAAGAGAAATAGACAAAGCAGCTAAATGACGGCCCTCATTAGAACGACCCAATGACTCATAACGGCAATATTGAGGATAACGAGCAGCCAAAGCGTTCATATAATTCAAGATCTAAAATAAAGAAAATATAATAATCCCTGACACTTGATTCTCAAACCCTTAAGTTAACTTGCTTACCTCACTGTATCTGGGGAAGTGGGTGAAGAAGCCTCTAGCTTGTCTTCTTGTTCTACTATGACCACATTCTGAACCCTCACAATCGGAACTATCACTACTTAAAGTTTCGTTAAATTTCAACATTTCTTCCATTAAAGGTTTTGCCTGATATGTTACACCCAATTCGGCTAAACGTTTTTCGAAAATAGGCTGCATAACAGGACTAACCGAAACGATGGACATGTTACGTGACAACAGCCAAAAATCCAAATCAACATCTTGAGTTTGTAACTCAACCATATATTCGAAGGCCTTGTCACTGTCATGGAATACTGTATATTTGTTGTAACTGAAATAAAATAAAAAACAAAATAGTTTTTAATCAATAAACCATTGTTTTATAACTAATTTATAAAAAAAATTCCTAACAAGAATAAAACCTTAAGAAAACTATTTAAGTTTCGAGTTTAACCACTTTTTTAAATTCGGTTATAAGTTTATAGTTTTTTAATTCAGTCTAGGTTATTTCAAAAAAAAACTAAATAGTTCAATTAATTTCTATTATTATCTTCAAAATTTATTTATAAACGCGTATTAATGCTTGGCGGCATCCGCTTTTAATTTATTCAATTTAAAATTTAATTTTAATATAATTTGATGAAATTACTTATTTATATTTTTTTAAATTTTCGTTAAATATTCCATGTTTAAATCAATTATAAATCTTTGTAACACTTTGGAATCATTAATCAATACACGCTATAAACATTCCGTAAACAAGTTGTAAACAAAGTTGTGTTTTAGGAGATATTAATATTAATCGCCAGAGAAACAGTGGGTAACAAAATTGTTTTGCATCAGTAATAAATGGATGGACCGTAGTCAAAACGACAGCAGGAAATATCATCTAACTAACTAACTAACTAACTAACTAACTAACTAACTAACTAACTAACTAACTAACTAACTAACTAACTAACTAACTAACTAACTAACTAACTAACTAACTAACTAACTAACTAACTAACTAACTAACTAACTAACTAACTAACTAACTAACTAACTACTACTAACTACTACTAACTAACTAACTAACTACTAACTAACTAACTAACTACTAACTAACTACTAACTAACTAACTAACTAACTAACTAACTAACTAACTAACTAACTAACTAACTAACTAACTAACTAACTAACTAACTAACTAACTAACTAACTAACTAACTAACTAACTAACTAACTAACTAACTAACTAACTAACTAACTAACTAACTAACTAACTAACTAACTAACTAACTAACTAACTAACTAACTAACTAACTAACTAACTAACTAACTAACTAACTACTAACTAACTAACTAACTACTAACTAACTAACTAACTAACTACTACTACTAACAACTAACTAACTAACTAACTAACTAACTAACTAACTAACTAACTAACTACTAACTAACTAACTAACTAACTAACTAACTAACTACTAACTAACTAACTAACTAACTAACTAACTAACTAACTACTAACTAACTAACTAACTAACTAACTAACTACTAACTAACTAACTAACTAACTAACTAACTAACTAACTAACTAACTAACTAACTAACTAACTAACTAACTACTAACTAACTAACTAACTAACTACTAACTAACTAACTAACTACTAACTAACTAACTAACTAACTAACTAACTAACTAACTAACTAACTAACTAACTAACTAACTAACTAACTAACTAACTAACTACTAACTAACTAACTAACTACTAACTAACTAACTAACTAACTAACTAACTAACTAACTAACTAACTAACTAACTACTAACTAACTAACTAACTACTAACTAACTAACTAACTAACTAACTAACTACTAACTAACTAACTAACTAACTAACTAACTAACTAACTAACTAACTAACTAACTAACTACTAACTAACTAACTACTAACTAACTAACTAACTAACTAACTAACTAACTAACTAACTACCTAACTAACTAACTAACTAACTAACTAACTAACTAACTAACTAACTAACTAACTAACTAACTACTAACTAACTAACTAACTAACTAACTAACTAACTAACTAACTAACTAACTAACTAACTAACTAACTAACTAACTAACTAACTAACTAACTAACTAACTAACTAACTAACTAACTAACTAACTACTAACTAACTAACTAACTAACTAACTACTAACTAACTAACTAACTAACTAACTAACTAACTAACTAACTAACTAACTAACTAACTAACTAACTAACTAACTGACTAACTAACTAACTAACTAACTAACTAACTAACTAACTAACTAACTAACTGACTAACTAACTAACTAACTAACTAAGTAAGTAACTAACTAACTAACTAACTAACTTTCGATATTTACTCTAAACGAAATTTAAATTTTTTAATACAAAATCTAAGCAAGATTAGGGTCCGCAGTTAATCCCTCTCCCAGTTTTTGTACCTAATTAAAAGTTGTTTGTAGGGATAGGCCCAATTTCGGTTACAACACTACCTCACATTCTATTTTTTAAAGATTTTTTGTCCACGTTTGTCATTTAATGAGGTCATTTTACTATGGGAAGGAATTATAGACTACTTTTTATGCAAGATGCCACGCCCACTTATAAAATTAATATTAAAATTAACATATCTCAGAAACTGCAACAACTAAAGTTCTCAAATTTGATATGAACAATTTTGAATATAATAAAACAGTTAGTATTTAGTATCAATTAAACCGCTTTATATGGATAGGAAATACTATTAAAGCTATAATTCTCAAATTTTGCAAAAATTTTTATATATGGTTTTTAATTATATTATTTTAAGGGCAGACTGTTTGGTTTTTCCCTTCACGATTTATGTAAAGTTTTATCATCCACTGCTATCACATGAAACAAAACGAAACATGTCTTTATAAAAACAATAGCGTCTCTAAGTCAAGTGAATTATTAAATTTTATTTTAATTATTCAAATTTTAAATTAAAACATAAAAATATTCCAACATTTAAAACAAAACAAAAATTTATTAAAATATTTAAAATAAGAAAACAATATTATGTTAAATAACAAATCATCACGTGAGTAAAATCGCATAGACAAGACAGACATACTTTTTTATCTTATTAAAAAGATCGTGATAATGTTGATAATCGTCATCATTATGAACATAATGCTTGTCATTATCATGAACTGTTAACACCGGTTAATTTCAATAGTTGTAGTATGTGCTGTAGAGTGTGATTGTTATGCTAATTTGTCGGTGAATGACGAATAAATTAATTATTTAATTTTTTGTATTTTTGGTATTTATGCTGAGAGCTCTATCATCAACTTTATTTATTTTTAATAGAAACAACGTCTTCATCTGGTATTGTTTTTAAACAAAAATCCATTAAATATTCCCTGACCTTACCTTCAGCAATTTATACAATAATCATTTATTAATATTTTGTTAAATATATAATTTTAAAGAAATATCAGTTTTTTCAAAGTGGTCTTTTTTATAAATTTTTTGCAAAATAGAAAGGCGGAAGGATGGTAAAAGATCTTCCGAATTGTTGTTTAGATTTTATTGTAATTCTAATAAGAATTGTTGAAAAAAACCGGATGTAAACCCAAAGAGTGTTACGTAAATCTTACGCCCACTGTTATTGTTTTTGAACAGAGGATTAATTCAATAAATTGTTACAAATTTCAAAAGTTTGAATACAAAGTTGTTATTGTTTAAATTTGAGTTAAATCATTAAGGTTTATTTTTCAGAAATGTTTAAAAGTCCATTTACCCTTTTATCTATATAATTTCAAACAGATCATTGTCACCTTTACAGCAAAGTTGATAATGGTAGATCATCATTATCATGTAAAATAATTGTATTTCCATTAATCATGAAATCGTACTTGTTTATCATTGTATTTCAAAAGATATTGGCCAAACAAATTAAAAAGATTTAATTGTATTCATGCTTCTTCTTTCAAATGACAAAATTTGATTTATGAATAATGTCTAATTACTTTACATTTACGTTTAGAAGTAAGAAAACCTTTGGTATTAATGTAAAATTAATTAGAGAAGCCCTTTTGTAAAAACTTTTAAATTCTGTAATGCCCAAGTGATTCCACTAATGGTTGACTATGTCAAAATGAATTACCTAGAGATGTATGTATATTGAAGGAATTTTTAAAAAATTTCAAATACCCTAAGAGGTATTATTAAGACTTAATTTGTAGGCGATCGCACAAGCAATCGTATTGGTTTCATTTAATAAGCAAATCAACGTGTTATTTTCGACTGTATCCACCACTTCAGAACAGGCATGGGGGTAATGATTACACAAAGTTTTTCATTACATGGTCAATTATAATCATATGTAATGTGTGATTGAGCAATAACCAATTAAAATAACTCGTAATTCAATTACAATTTCCAATTATAATTAAATGTAATGTGTAATTGACCAATAACCAATTACTTGAAATTAAAGTTTGCCAATTACAATTACTTGTATAATTGTAGTTTTGCAATTACAATTACTTGTAATTGTAATTGAAGTTTCCAATTAAAATTACCTGTAATTGTAATTTAGGTATTACAAATTACATGTAATTATAACAAACAAAATTCAGAATTACAAGTAATTGTAATTAGAAATTCTTCAATTACAATTACAAGTAACTGTAATTGGCAACAAATCAATTACAAGTAAATGTAAATGGCAAAACTTCAATTACAATTACAAGTAATTGAAATTTGTAAAGCTTCAATTACAATTACTTCAAATGTAATAAATGTAATTGAAAATGTAGTAATTACCCCCCCCCCCAGGCCGGCTTCAAAACATGTTTGTAGATTCTAAAATGATTTCGTGACCCTATATGTGGTCTTTATACAATTATCGACTGATCCTTTCGGAATTTAAATTTTAATATAGTACTAATTGTTTCCTAAAATAGTACTTTTTAGGATTAAAAGTACTAAATACTAGACTACCTTCTTGAATAAGCGATGGTATTTGGACCAGTCTAAGGTTTAGACCATAGTTTATGAACTAATCTGTTGACTAGCCTATGGGACAGTTTATCGACTAGAATATGATAAGCCTATGGCAAGTTTAGGGTTTTGTATATGAAAAAATCAGAGATTTGGTTTAGAAATACATAAGTCCATTTACTGGTTTTGGGATTAGCTTTAAAAATATTATTTATATTCACTAATCTGTAGACTAATCTATGGATAAGTATATGTATTTGTCTATGAATTAGTCTATTGACTTGACTTGGGATTAATCTAAGGACTAGTCTAGGGTTTGATCTACAGATTAGTCTGTTTCCTTAAGTAGTACTTTTTAGAATTAAAAATACTAAATTTCTTTTCAATTGTTACGCTAGACTATATTTTTGGATAAGCTATAATATATTAACTAGTCTATGGTCTTGGCTAAACCATAGGCTATGACTAGTCTTCAATATGAACTACTCTATGAATTATTCTTATTGTGGACTAATATGTAGATACGTCTATAGCAACTCTAGGGTTTTGTATATGAACAAGTATGAGATTTGCTCTAGAAATACATAAGTCCATTCACTGGTTTATGGGCCAGTTTTGGGATTAGCTTTGAAAATAGTATATTGACTAGTCTGCGGACTAATCTATGAATAAGTCTATGTAATAGTCTATTGATTTCTCCATCGAATAGTCTATTGACTTGTCTAAGAATTCGTCTATGAACAAGTCAAAAGTTTGATCTGCAGATTAGTGCCAGTTTTGGGATTAGCTTAGAAAATAGTCTATTGAACAAGTCAAGAGTTCGATCTACAGATTAGTCTATTGACGAGTCTTTGAACAAGTGCAAGAATTTATTTACCAACTAGTCTATAGATAAGTCTATTGATTATGTCTTAGTCTATTGACTAGTCTGTTAACTATTTTATTGACTTCTCTAGGAGTATTAGTCTAAAGATTAGCCCATTGGTTAGGATTGATCTAAAGATTAGTCCATTGACATTGAGTAGTTTATATATAGTCTATTGACTTGATTAGGATTTAGTTTATGGACTAATCTAGGGTTAATTTTGAAATTTGTTTATTTTCGACCCTATTCTGAATGCGTATTTTGATGCAAATAATTTTCGGAAAATAAACACATACATATGTATGTATAGTCAAAATCGATTCATAAATAAGGGACAAATGGGCAAGGGTTATAATGAGATCCCACCCTAAATATTGGCAGTTGTGCCGTTATTTGTTGAATTACTAGCACATTTAGCATAATTATGAGGTCCAATGCCCTATTCGAGGTGGGTGGTTTAGGATTCGATCCATTTCAACCGTTTTCAAATTAAAAAACGCAGTTTTTGTCCCTTTTGAGACTTTATAACAGCGCCAAGACAACTGTACTGTATGCCATCTGAGAGTCCATTCTGTCAACCTTAAAATAGAGAATTAACATGTGACATATCTTTTTTTCTTTTTCGATATACATACATATATTCACCTAAAGATATGATAGACAAATTCCAGATTCGGATTCGATGCAGCTAAATTCTTCAGAAAAGTATACTTTGAGCTCTGGATTAAAAATTTCTCAGCCTGTATTATTATAAAAATTTTTACCTATAGTCAAGTCAAGGTTTTCATTGACTTCGTTAATTATAACCTAAAAACAATTCCAATACAATTGATAAAATTTAAAGTGCCATAATACTCTAGCCACCATTATCCATTAGATATAATATCAAAGTACCCTAACTAATATCTTGACCAACTGTAATCTCCCTTTTAACAATTTCAATACTCATCAAACTTTAGCTAAAATGCCCTAAAGCTTTTTAAGTACTTAAATGTATGCGCTTAAATTTATATGTTTGCAAATACTATCTAAAGATTTTAATAATAATTAAATATTTGTACTTTTGTTAATGTTTATTTTTGCTGACCAACCAACCACCAGTAATTCATTCATCTATTATTTACTACATATTTGCCTTTTGTAATTTTGTTTAAATACTACAGGTGTATTTGGTATTGGTGGCCTTTTGAAAAATTAACTATATAATTGTTGAAAAAGTAATAAATTATTTAAAATTAATTTTGCATTAATTTTGTGCTAGTTAATTATAAGGTTATTGTTTTCGTTACTTTGACAACTCTGTCAATCTGTGACTTGAATTATATTTAAAAAAAAAACTTTTTAAGTTTTTGAAGTTATTTATGTTTGGTATTATAACAGATCTGAATTGTTCTACATATAGTTCCCTTCTAAACACTTAGAATTAACGGTGTGCGAAATTTCATGAAAATCGGTTTAGTATTTAGAAATTTGCATTGCAGAGAAAGAAGTGGGCGTTAAATAAGGGCGTGGTTTTTTGTATAACTAACTATACATACCAGTTATGAGTATAAAATGTTATTTATTTTTCATAATAAAGAATTTATGTTACCTTTTACCACTTTCTGAAATGGGCTTTATATGGGGGCTAGAGGCAATATTAACGAATACTTAAAAAATGGTGGTTGGATTTATGCTTACACTGAATTTCGGCATTTAAAAATCCCAAAGTTTAAGTATTTTTCAACTAAAATTTTTAAATGAAATTACGAATGGGATTTATTTGAAAATCCTGGGATTTCGAAAAATCACTCACGATTGGCAGCCCTAATAAGCACAGATCGCAATTAGAAATGTTTAAAATCCATTCCATTTTTTTCACCCTGGATTTTCGGGAATCGTGATTTCCCGTTTGGCATCTCTAGTACTTAAATTACAAGGTTTACGGTTAACGGAAAGACGGACATGGGTGAATGATTCTAAAAAATCCTGAATCCTGGGATTTCCAAAAATCACTCACGATTGGCAGCCGTAATAAGTACAGATCGCAATTGGAAATGTTTAAAATCGGTCCATTTTTTTCACCCTGGATTTTCGGGAATCGAGATTTCCCGTTTGGCATCTCTAGTACTTACATTACAAGGTTTACGGCTAACGGAAAGACGGACATGGGTGAATCGACCCAGAAAATGATTCTAAAAAAATCCTGAATCCTGGGATTTCCAAAAATTACTCACGATTGGCAGCCCTAATAAGTACAGATCGCAATTGGAAATATTTAAAATCGGTCCATTTTTCACCCTGGATTTTCGGGAATCGTGATTTCTCGTTGGTATCTCTAGTACTTACATTACAAGGTTTACGGTTAACGGAAAGACGGACATGGGTGAATCGACCTAGAAAATGATTCTAAAAAAATCCTGAATCCTGGGATTTCCAAAAATCACTCATGGTTGGCAGCCCTAATAACTACAGATCGCAATTGGAAACGTTTAAAATCGGTCCATTTTTTCACCCAGGATTTTCGGGAATCGTGATTTCCCGTTTGGCATCTCTAGTACTTACATTACAAGGTTTACGCTTAACGGAAAGACGGACATAGGTGAATCGACCTAGAAAATGATTCTAAAAAAAATCCTGAATCCTAGGATTTCCAAAAATCAATCACGGTTGGCAGCCCTAATAAGTACAGATCGCAATTGGAAACGTTTAAAATCGGTCCATTTTTTCACCCAGGATTTTCGGGAATCGTGATTTCCCGTTTGGCATCTCTAGGTTTACGGTTAACGGAAAGACGGACATGGGTGAATCGACCTAGAAAATGATTCTAAAACTATTGATATACTTTAAGGTGGATAATAGGCCTTATATTTGTATGCGTCTCAAACATCAGCAAAAACCCAATAAAAATCTCTACTAAAGTGGTGGGTGCATGGTAAAAATATGTATTTTCTAAATGGTTGATCCCATTTACAGAGTGGAATATAGGATTAATGGAGCTTCGAACCTGAATCAACAGGTTGTCCTATAGTTGAATAATTTTATACAATTTAATCTTTTTAAAAGTGGGACTTGTATAATACTTCTTAATATCAACATTTTAAAGATATTTCTTCAAGTTTAAATGTTTTCCAAAAGAGGGTCTTATATGGAGGCTAGGACGATATGTGGACTGATCGTTTTAAAATTCTTTAATTTGTATTATTATGCCAAATTTCATCTGATTTATTTTAAAAATGCAACCAATAGTTTGATTATGAAATATAGATCAGATCTCTACATTTAAGATGGTGGCCATATATGTATGGACCCTGAATAATATAATCAAATGAAATTAAATATTTGTAGTATGTACCAATGCCAGGCAGACGGGTCCGGAATTCTCCAAAATAATCACCTCGGGTTTGTGAAGCATTCAAAACAATTACGGTGGTGCCTGATATAAAATATCGACTATATATGAAATCTTTTGATCTTTTCTTTCTTCTTTTAAGAAAAAATTTCAAGTTTTCAGAGTACATTTGTCTGGTTTTTGTTCCGTTCGTCATTTCTACGAACTCATTTAATTATTCTGAAACGTTTAGAAGAAATTTTGAGATAAAAGTAAAATAAATCGCTTTCATTCTCGATGCAGGGTATAATTTTTTTTTTTTTTTGTTAATGTCTCAAATATATATAAAAAAATTGGGAATAACAAATATTTAACCACAACAGAGTTGAATCATCATCAATCTGGCTATAATATAAATATGCACTGAAATTAGCATAAATCAAAAATCCAATATTTTATATATAAAACAAGTATTGTTTTTTTTTCAAAACCTAGCAACAGATCCAATAAATATTAAACGTAAAACTGAACCGGAAATACCCATTCTTTAAACAAATATGTATTCTAAAGAGGAATCATAAGAATTTGATTCAATTGAAATAAAACTTATAAAAATTGTTTGAGCTGAGAAAGTTTTAAACTGTGATAAGATATAGAAGAGAGAAAAGGATAATGCTAATAACCAAAAAAATCGAAGGACAAACATATCAACTTTTGAGATTTAAAAGTCTTAGGACCATGTTGGATCCTAGGGGCCAAGTTTTACTTAGGAACCATCAAACTTTATATATGGTTCATCTTAAACATTTCAAAATTGCCTTTAGAGTCATAAAATTAAAACTTACCCTTCATAACCGGCTAAATTACTGGCAAATGTCAAAGTGGACATTAAAGCCAGCGCAGCAGCTATTTGTAGCCACATTTTTAATTTATCGTTTGGACTCATAACTCAAATTTAAAATTTTATCAAAAGTTTAATATTTTTTACAAACTTTTGTTTTCATATGGTTTATTATTATTATTTTATTTCTATATAAATTTCCTATTAATATTGATAATTTAGATGTAAATATATGGATATGGCGTTTAGCACGTTAACACATTTTATAGCACTGGAAGTTTAATATTGCATTTTTTTATTTTGCTATGGCTTTTCAATACCTTACTTTTATTTACAAAATGCACATTTATTTTTTTTTTATAATTATTTTTATTTCCACTTTTTTTCCAATTTCTGTATGATTGAATAATTTCAATTTGTTTTGCTATTAGTTAATTTATATTTTCTTTTTCCTTCTTTTTAGTTAAGTTTGTAAACTTTTTTCTTTCATTTATATTGTATGTGATTTCTTTGGTTTTATTTAATTTTTTAACCAAAGATCAAGTTAAGCGATTTCCGTCCGATACGCTTATGTTTACGCGATCGACTAACAGTCATGCAAAAGTTTAACTTAGAAAGAAGACGTTACCGAAATATAAAATAATATCAAAACTCGTACTCAGTCAAACCGAACTGAACTGTAGATCATACAAAAAGGTGGTATTATTTTTAAAAAATAAAAAGCAACACTATGATTTTATTTATTAAAATACATTTTATAAAAAATGAAAAAAAAATAACAATTTTTATGTTTTGGTTATTAAATAGTGAGTGTCAAGGTTAAGAGAAAAAAAAATAACATCTTGTCCATCCATCCATTCGTCTCATCTAATCCATTTAGTCTGAGATGTTTTTTGTGAGAAGTGCTTGAACTGAGTATCTGTATCGCGCTTGTACTTATTGTCTGCTCGTCTAGTTGTTTCAAATTTC